CAAATTTCTCTCCCCCACTGGAAGCCTACTTCTTCCAAGATTTCTGTGGCTTTTCTGGCCAATCACTGCATCAAATCTCAATTTCTTTGCCCTCTAGTTTAACTACCTTCCCCACAGGGGAGGATTAAAAGAAAATAAAGTTTTCAGGACTCTTTTATCAAAGGAGGCTGACTTAAAACAAACAAAACAGTTGCTAACAAGTCAATTCCAACTCATGGCAACCCCACTTGTGTCAGAGTAGAACTGTGCTCCATGGGGTTTCAATGGCTGATTTTTCAGAAGTAGATCACCAGGCTTTTCGAGGTGGCTCTGGGTGGACTGGAACCTCCAACCTTTTGGTTAGCTGCTGAGTGTGTTAATCGTTTGCACCACTCAGGGACTCTGAAGCCGACTTCTTTTATTTGCAAAATCAACAGAGATGGAAGGAAAGAGACTCTAGATGATTCTCTTATCATCCAGCAATTCCTTCAACCTCAGAGAAGCACGGATCAGCACCACCAGGGCTGGGAAGGATGGGATTCCATGTGCCCACCCTGGACGTTCCTTATTTCTATGCTTTTGATGAGTGGCAGCCCAGGGTGACAGGGTCACAGACGACCTTTCAAAGGGAATCACAGCGGGGACGTTCCTTACCCGGCAGTCTCTCTGAAGCGTTTTCATCAGCGCATTGTACATCTCCGTATCAAAATACAGGCCCTCGTGCATGTCCTGCAGGAAATCCAAGTCCTTGAACGTGGGGTTTGACTTCTCTCTCTCCTTCCGCGAAGCTCTTCGTTTGTAGGTGGAGCCCTTCAGGTCGTACGTGTAGTGCATCCTCATGGCGCACGGCAAGACATTGTTCATTACCACGATCCTGATGTTGATGCCTCCGGACTGCATGCAGTACAGCCCGTAGAATTTGGGCAAAAGAGTCCTTGGGTTCTGGTTTAAATTCTGACAACAGAAAAGGGGAAAAAACGCTTACACACTCCCATCTTTACAAAACGATGCTCCGTGACAGTTTGTTTTCCTGCTAATACGATAATTCAGAATGTGAGTTCCTTAATGGCGGTGGCTAAAACGTTGCTGTTTCTAAACGAAGTCCTGAAGTCTGCTCGTTGGACAGTGACTTCATCGCTCTAAACTCAGGACATTAAAAGTGGCTACACTGAAAACGCACAGAATTCCCAAATGAGCCCCAACTAAAAACGGGCAAAGGGGCCCTGGTGGCATGGTAGTTAAGCGCTCGGCTGCTAGATGAAAGGTTGGCAGTTTTTTGGCCAATCATGTAACCCCCTTGCGTGTTATTTTCCCAGGCATGCTATGCGTGTTATTTGTGTGTGTTATTTATATGGGCACACTATTTGCAAAAAAAATACGGCAGTGTCCTGGTGGTGCAATGGTTAAGCACTCAGCTACTACCTAAAGGTCAGCAGTTTGAACCCACCAGCTGCTCCTGGAAGAAAGATGTGGCAGTCTGCTTCCATAAAGATCAAAGCCTTGGAAATTCTATGGGGCAGTCCTACTCTGTCCTACAGGGTCGCTATGAGTCGGAATTGACTTGATGGCAATGGGTTTGGTTTTTTTGGTTTAGTGCCAAGGTTAAAAATGCCACCTCTGGAACCTGTGTTCAAGTCCCACCTCTGCAGCTCATCAGCTGAATAACCTGGGCCAGGTACTCAATTTATCTTTGCCTCAATGACCCCACGTATAAGATGAAGACAGCTGTAGTAACGAAAACTGCTCTGAGGATTCAGTGAATTCATGCAGGCCAAGGACCGCAGGCCGTGCCTGACACCCG